AACAGGTGCTAATTTGCAATTGGCTTCAAATAGTAAGAGCCAATCCTCTATACTTTGCATCACCACAATTAAAATTATTTCTCCTGACAGCCGTCTCTGGGAATAAGAGATGGATAGCTTTGGATAAGCTTAGTATCCAAAGCCATGTTCCTCCCATGTTGTTCATTGCCATCCTATGTAAGTAACCCAAATGATTTTGCAGCGGTTAAGAGCAATCCAATGCCGTGCCTGTATTGGGTAAGCTAATGGCTCTGCATTTGGACCTCACGATGATCTCCATGCACTGAAAAAAATACCAAGTTTTCTTAGAACTCTGCTGCAGAAATAAGAAAACATTTATTTTTGTTAGTAGATACATTTGTACACAGCTCTGTGTAATAACGTGATATTCTCAGTAGTTTTTACGTGATTTACGTAGGACCCAAATTATCTGAAAAATGTTCTTAAAAACCTAATTTTCAGGCCGTAAAGGCAGTTGTGCTCCAAGGAATTGTAGCTGGATGACAGGAGCTACGTGTTCAGAGACTATGCAGGGAATCAAGAAGGTTCCTCTGCTGACTGAGACCAAAGTTATGAAAAAAAATATGAACGTATCTGCAGCTTTCCTTTCAGATGAGGTGACTGTACAGGGTTGGGGAGAAAGCTAGGAAACCTGGATACACCATACCACAGTGGACAAGGGGGTCTTCTGAATGATGACATGCTTCTAACACACAGGGAGAGCATGTGGGGAGCTCAGGACATAGAACAAGTCTTTATACTGGTGTCCCTGCAGCTTTTTTCTTTGTACCCTGAACGGGAGAGGCCATGATCTTTGCCAGATCAATCATTGGCTCCTCTGTGATTGGCTTTCCCTCTTTCTGCCACTGTGCTAGGATCATGGCTCGGAGCAGAGGTGGGTATGGAAGGTACCGAATAGTCTCCTCTGGCACTGGGGTGAATTTCTTGAAGGCCTCTTCCTCATGCTTGGGCACCATACGCCAGTCATGGTACATGACTTTGTCAATCTCTCTCACTTCTTCTTCAGTTTTGCCTGAGAAAAGATGATGAACACCAGCAGACAATGCTATTGACAACAAACTCCCTCAGGGAAATGTAGCAAGTGTCAACTCTCCAGTATCAAAAGTGCTACATCAAGCAACACTAAAGGAACAGTAAAGGTTTGAACAGTATCCTCCCTGCTATGCTATGGGATCCCACTTCTGTCCTTAAAAATCAAAACAGAAACAGGCTGAAAGGCCTACAGGCAAGTCATTGATTTAAAATGTCACTTTGTGTCTCTCTGGTTCAGCTTCCGTGGCTAAGGAACCAGAGTAATTTCTCTCTACACTGATGAAAGTTCCCTGGGACATTTAATGTTAACAATACCCAACAACTTTAAAACCTCTGAATGAGAAATGTTTCAGAAACTCTAGTAAGAGGCAATTGTATGCCTAATACTAAGCAGCTTTAAAAAGGGAAATTCGCTCACCTCGAAGCGTTAATTTAAAATCCCAGTAACGTAAGTTTACATGCCATTGCTCCTGTTTTACTGACGATTTTACCTGGAATACCTGCATGGGTTCATTCTGTGCCTTGCTTTCGAACTCTCAAAACAGTCTGTTGCCTCACCTAACCTGCTGTTAGCTCCCCAAGGTCAGCCTCTGCTGGCTCTCCCCCAGTGTTCTGTGAGGGCTAAATCCCAGCGTTTGGAAGTAAAAAAAGGAGGAGTTCCCTTCTGATTTAGCAGATCCAAGAAAAACCAATCTCCCAAGCAGGAAGGCTGCGGTTTTCCTGCAGCTCCCTCCACCCATTACTCTCCGGTCCTGCCCACAAACGCTCTCTCCCCACCTCGTGTGTGGGAAAACACGCCGGTTTTACCTCTGAAGGTCAGGTAGCCCCAAGCTCTTCCGTGATCCATGTTCTGCAAAGAAAACAAGACCCTGTTGAGGGCAGCAAGGGCTGAGGCGGCGGCAGGGAGCGGCTCCGGGGGCTCACGGCGGTTACCTCGGCCGTGTAGTCCGCCTTCACCTTGGTGATGACCCAGTAGCAGGGCTCGTCGTGCTCCCACAGCCAGGACTTGCGGGTGACGGTGCGGCCCACGCCGAAGCGCGGCAGGCGGCAGAGCAGCGCGAAGAGCCGGTTCTCGTTCCGCACGTCCTCCCAGGCCCGCACCGGCAGCCGCTTCTGCGTCAGCGGCCGCCGCATGGTCTCGTAGTCCAGGGCGAAGCGCTGCGAGTCCCGCGGCCGGTTCTTCAGCGCCCGGTACTCGCGGATCTTCTTGGCCATGGCGGCGATGGGCCGGTGCAGCTTCTTGCGGGCCATGGCGGCTGCCGACGGGGCCGAGCGCTGCGCCGGGAGCCCGCC